AAACCAAACCAAACACACTGCCATTGAGTCGGACCCGACTCATGGCGACCCCTCCTTGGGTTTCTGAGGTAGTATCACTACGGAAGGAGATTGCCCATCCTTCCTTCTAAGGAGTTTTACACTTACAGCACATCTAAATTTGGACTAACCACATTTCTAGTGCTCAGTTTCCACATGTAGCTAGTGGCAACCGTATTGGACAACATCGGCCTAGAGTAATGTTACCCTTTTTAGTCCTCCAGCAGGCTAATGTGGAAACTTTTTTAAAAAATTAATAGATTAAATTAATTTATTTTGGTGTTGTTGAGAATATACATAGTAAACCATGTACCAGTTTAACAGTTCAGTTAAATTGATTGCATTCTTCAAGTTGAACAACCATTCTCACTCTCATTTTCTGAGTTTTTCCTCCTCCACTGACATAAATTAACTACCCCCTAAGGTTCCTATCAAAGAGCTCTGGTAGTGTAGTGGTTAAGGCATTTTTGGCTGCTAACCAAAAGGTTGGTGGTTCGAACCCACCATCCTAGGAAGAAACCCACTTTCCTAGGAAGAAAGATAGGGCAATCTGCTTCTGTAAAGATTTACAGCCTTGGAAACCCAATGGGGGTTGCTATGAGTAGGAATTGACTCAATGGCAGTGAGTTCGGTTTTGGTTTGGAAGGTTCCTATGGAATCTTTCAAGTTGCTGCTGTCCGCTTGATCCCATATAAATAGTTCCTAAAAGTGAATAATGCTCAAGACAGACATTGCTTATTAAGTTAAACTGTTGTTTGTCTTTAAAAAGACATCAAGGGATATTTTTTGTTTAACGTTTAAAGATTATCTCAGGGCAATAGTTCCAGGGGTTCATCCAACCTCCATGGCTCCAGAAAGTCTGGTTGTAGTTGTTGTTAAGTGGTGTCAAGTCGGCTCCAACTCATAGCGACCTTACATATAACAGAACAAAACACTGTCCGGTCCTGCGACAATCCTTGCTATACCCAAGCTCATCGTTGCAGCCACCGTATCAATCCGTCTCATAGAGGGCCTTCCCTTTTTTCACTGACTCTCCACTTTACCAAGCATGATATCCTTCTCCAGGAAATGGTCCCTTCTGACAACATGATCAAAGTAGGTGAGACGAAGTCTGGCCATTCTCCTTTCCATGGAGCATTCTGGCTGCACTTCCTCCAGGACAGACTTAGTTCTCCTGGAAGTCCATGGTACTTTCAGCGTTCTTTGCCAACATCATGGCTCAAAAGCATCAACTCTTCCTTGGTCTTCCTTATTCATTGCCAGAGTTCACATACATATGAGGTAACTGAAAACACCATGACTTGGGTTAGGTGCACCTTAGTCTTCAAAGAGCCATCTCTGCTCTTCAGCACTTGAAAGAGGTCTTTTGCAACAGATTTGCTCAGTGCAATACATTG